GAGAAAATGGGGCCACGTGTACTAGAAATTGCTATAATTCTTAAAATAAAGAAACCCTTTTTATTCTATGGTAAAACATTTTTTGCTCACACTGTATAATCTTATCATCTAGTGCCACTAACAACCCACACTTATAAGTCTATACTCTCCTTAGTATTATTACAGTGCGAGAATGTGCACCATGTAAAAACAAAAGAACCAGGAAGAGAATTATTAATTAGCTTTAGAGTTTCCAATCAAATCACATTTAAAACTTACCCTGGTTTTGTTTGCCTCAAATGAAAGAGAATATCTGATCTCATTATGACATTCAGAGCTAATGAAAGCAGAAATCAACCAGGACTGTCTCTCATATTATAAGATGGCTTAAGAATTGGACACTGATTTATTGCTCAGATCATCATCATCAATTCATTTTCATCAATTGGGAATCAAAAGTGGCTCAAAGTATATTTTGATCATTTTACAGTTTCACACAGTTAATAAAGTTTTGTTTAGTAATAAAATAATAAAAAAACCCATAAAATAATGCAGTTTTAAGGGCACTGGAAGAAAGCCTCAGCAGAAAAACGATTGAATAGCAAAGCATTGATGTCAGCAGGTTATTGTCTTGTTGATATGCCTTTTGCCCCATGAAGTTAGGGTTATTTAAATTATTAATTACACATTATATAAAGAGCATTTTTAATATCAAAACTCTCCATGAAATGCAACTTCAAAAATGTACTGTCTAACGAGCACAAGACACACAAATTAACTTAAATCACAGATCTCAAAGGGGTTACGCTCAGTATGTGTTCTTCATCTAATTTAGCAGCGAGCTGTTTCTGATTTGCCTCAGGCTTTTGCTTAGGTGAGATGATCTGAAACAAGAAATTCATCAGTCAGCTCCTGTTACTATTTTGCTAAAGCTGTTGCTAAGATACTAGTGTGCTTCATGGACTGAATCAGGACTTGAAGCAACAGTTTTATTAGTGTGATTCAAGTTCATTGCTTCTCATGCAGAGAAATTTCACTTGGGTATCAGCTTAATAAACACTGTCAAAAGTATTTTTTAAGTGAGGCAGGCTTATACAAGAGTATAACTGCCAAAAGGAATATTGTAATTTAAATCATCGATGTTGGCATATCCAAAAGCTACCTATTTGGTAATTGGACAGTCCGAAGGTATTAAACACCCTTCAATCAGCCCCAGTCTGCTATCTAATGTCTCTCACCCGTAAGCTATAAAACCTATCGGTGGTCTTTGATTATTCATGTTGGGTCAAGCAGAATTTTTACACTTCTGAGTGGCTTGTCATGGTTTTATTTCTGCTAATAAAGAAGGGATGATTGAGGAACATCTGTGGATGAGCACTCCTTTACAGCCTGTCTTTCTAAAGGATTTTGCAGCTATGAATTGTGGCTTTAGATATA